CACTGACCATCAGAGATCTAACCCTGGCAGACACAGCTCTCTACTACTGTGCTCTAGAAACACAGTGATACAAAGTGTAGAAGAGGCTGTACAAAAACCTGAACCCAGATATCTGACTACTCTTCAAAGAGGAGGGAAGTGGTATTCAAACCACAGCTTCATATCAGATGGATTCTGCTAATTCCTGTTTTATCAGAGTCACTGTGGTTCCAGCTGCTAATGAAACACTGGGGGAGGATTCACAGGAGCAGCAAATCCACATCAGAGAGAAACCACCTGCAGGAGGCTTCAAACACAAGCCCATTTCTCCATTACAACAAATAAATGTATACTGAAACTAAAATTAATAATGTGTCAGATCTGACCTTCATCATGTACACTGGGAGCACAGCGGCAAATGTTCAAACAAAAGGTAACGGCAAACAAAACATAATCCAAAGGGAAGAGTCCGAGAACAAAGAACAAAGTACAATCAAACAAAATAATCCAAAGCGCAGGGACGGGACAGAACACTCAACACAGACAAAGGACGTGACAAAGACTGAACAAAACTGAGGGCTTAAATACACAAGTAAACGAGCAGGGCGGGAGTGCACAGGTGAAAGACATGAGGAGCTAATCAGGCACAGCAGACACACAGCGAAACAGCAAGCTAACCAGGCAAGAAAGTAATATAGAACAGAATAAACCGAAATGATTATAAACACAACAATACACAGATCCATAAAGAAAAAAGGCAGAAGTAACAAACTAATAATCAAGACAATACACTAACCAACAACAGGAACAAAGCTAGACAAGAACACCAGGCACAGAAGATTACAAAATAAAACAGGAAGTAAAGTACACAGGAACACACATGGAAAGATCTACCAAAGTAAAACACAAAACATGGAAAGACTGCAAAATCAGGGCATGGACAGAGACAGGACCAAACAGGAGACAGGACTATACTAGAACATGAGACATAAGACTAAGTACTAAGACACAGATCAAAATAATAAAACACAGAAGTACACAGACCAGGAATGACACTAAACATGAACTAAAGCACACAACTAAGAACAAAAGGCACTGGACTAAGAACTGAGGCTAAGAAGTAAAATGCAAGACTAAGAACTAAGATAAGAGGCCAGACAGATACTAAGAAAACTTAAACATGAGAATGAACAAAAGACTTGAACATGATCAAATAATGAACCACAGAAATACAAAACCCAAAACCATGAAACCAGATACTAAGTAAACTAGAACATGTGCCTGAATAAAATAAACAAGGCTACAGAGAGAAACTCAGAACCAAAAACGGACTTAAACAGGAAAGACATGAACACAAAACCACACTCCTAACAGGTCTGGTACAACGCCTGCATGACTGCTGACGCCGCACCAATCTGCCTGTCGATGTCATGCTTCATTTTACCGTCACTGGTGAACAAGACCACAAGATACTTGAAGTCCGTCACTTGGAGCAACAACTCTCTCCCACCCAACAAGGAGCCATCCGGCGTTTTCCAGCAGAGAACCATGACTTCAGACATGGAGGTGCTGACCACTTCACATTCAACTGCAACTCGTCCCAGTTCATGTTGGAGGTCACAGTCTGATGAAGCCAACAGAGCCACATCATCTGCAAATAGCAGAGAAAAAATGCTCAGGCCCCCAAACCGAACACCCTCCTCCCCCCGGATGCTCCTTCAGATTTTGTTCATGAAAGTTACAAACATAATCTGCGACAAGGGACAAACCAGCCATCCCAACACCCACCTGCTGAGTGTACAAACACAGCTCTCACTCTGGTTTTGTAGGGACAGGATGTCTCGTAGCAACAGCCATGGTACCATGAATATGTTTTTATGATGTTTTAAATTGTCACCTGGTGAAATATCAAAAGTTAATACGTGATGTTTTAAAATATACAGTCAGGTTGACTTAAGCACTGACGATTGATTTTCGCCTCAAACTGCAAATGGGAAGTCACAGATGATCACATTGTCTTGTCTTCATATGCATGCCACACACCTCCTTGAAGCTAGGAGGCTCAGCTACATCTCAAACAGACCATTTTTATCCACACCTAACCAACCACGCATCTAAATGAACTTATATCACAACATAAATTGCTCTGTAATCACTGTACAGGGCTGCAGTTCATCTCATCTCATCCTACTACGACCACTCTAAAGAAAGCTGAGCTCCAGCTCTGATCAGCTGTATAACTCCTATCAATCAACTCACAAAACTCAGAGCCGACTAATAACAAACGCAGCAATATGTGCTTACAGTTACAACGCTGACATACTTTTGTCTTTTCCCCGGATTCAGTCCAAAAACAGCTGTTTTCTGTGTCAATAGAGCCCGCCATCTTGGTATTGCACAATCAGTGAGCTCTTTAGGCAGGGTACACCCTGGACAGGTCGCCGATCCATCACGGGGCCACACATAGACAAACAACCAGTCACACTCACACCTAAGGACAATATAGGGTCACCAATCAACCTAGCCTGCATGTCTTTGGACGGTGGGAGGAAGCCGGAGCACCTGGAGAGAATCCACGCAGACACGGGGAGAACATCTCTACACAGAAAGGCCGGGGCCGGGTTCGAGCCTGCAACCTTCTTGCTGTGAGGCGACAGCGCTAACCACTATACCACCGTGCCGCTTCTTTAGGTTTCTTTTCTCATCAAAATGAAGGAGAGAAGAAGAGTTGCTTTGGAACAGATGGTCATTATCGGCCTCTACTGGCCCGTATGAGCTACACAGACATCCAGTGTACCATCAGTTCGTCTCTTCAATACGAAGAGAACGAGCCCACCTACAGCCCTGTAGGAGGTTCTGTTATCAACTTGTATGCCTGTAAAGCATGGGAGTGCTTTAGGTCACAGGAATGTTGATCAATATTCACTGTTTTTATCAATATTTCAATGTTTTGGAAGCTTTATATTTTTTTGGAACATGGTTGTATGGACAGAAATAGTGTTTTGAAGAAAACTCCCAATACATTTGTATTTAGCTGAGGCTTTTATTTAAAGCGACTTACTATTGCTACACATGTCAGAGCCTCTGGAGCAACTAGGGGTTAAGTGTCTTTTCTCAGGGACACAGTGGTGAATGTGTCACAGTGGGGGATTGAACCCGGGTCTCTCACACCAAAGGCATAGTCTTATCCACTGCACCACCACCAAATGGTTCATTTACAGTTTCTCCATATCCCTTAGTTTCTGGCCTCAAAGGAGACCAGAATTATGCAGCTAGGCGTAATGGTTGAGGAGTTATTACTGATTTATTTTAGGTATGTTATTTTAGGCCTTTTTTTTCTGGAAGTAGGTGTTAGTTTCCAAGAGGTTGAATCTCAAAATTGTTTCAGCTTTAAAACGCCTTCAATTTATATCCAAAAGACAAAACAATTAAAGTGTAAACAACATAAAATCATGATGTTCAAATATTTATCGCCATTTTATGAACAAAAACAGAATTAAGAGGCATTAGCAGATTTAGAATGAGACCCAGCTGTGATGAAGAGCTTCAGAAATGAAACTACTGTGAAATATGAGTCTCCTCCTACTGACTGCAGAGCTGCTTCATGGCAGAGAACTCTTTGATTCCAGCTGTGAACATCAGACCAAACACAACTGACAGAACGTATTCATACTGAACATTCAGTTCCAGCATTTCTCCTCTGTCAACATGGAGAAACTCGCTGCACTTTTGTTCTTTTCAGCTCTCGTAGGTACGAGTGTTTCTGACAGTGAGTGCTGGTTTTAAATGATGGATGTCTGCCTTTGGAACAGAACTCTGAATCTAACATGTTGTTTCCCTCACTAGGTAACACCTTGGAAGATGATATTACTGCCAGCAGAGCTGAAGTGTTCTCATCAGAGGGCCGTAGTGTTACTCTGTCCTGTAGCTATTCAGTTAAAGCCGAGAATCTCCAGTGGTATCGTAGGCTGTTAACAGACAGATGCTGTGTCCTCTATGAAAAGTCTGGATCCTCACTGTGCTGCATTATTCTACACCAGGGGTATTCAATTAGAATTCAAAGTCTCCAGTTAGAGAAAATTTCCCGAAGCAAAGGAACATCAAAACGACGACTTGCGTTATCATTCAGTACTATAACGTATAGTTGTATCAACATATGTATTTAGTCAACAACGGACTGTCAAATAATATTTCATTCAGTTTTCACATCAAACTGGAGGGATAATAAATAATACTCTAATAATAAATTCTAAATTTAAGTAAACTAAAATAAAGTGCCTAATTTTTTGAGAAAATGAAATAAAAAGTGTAGCTTGAAGTGATGAAGTGCAGTCTTAACCAATTTTATAACACACACTCAACACATCGTAACAAATAAACAGTTGTAATACCTCCTCTCCTCTTTCATTCCCTCTTACAGAGCTACCACCTCCCTACTTTCTCTTGTTCAGTGAGAAACGTGAGCTCTAGCTTGTCCAGCTAGCATTGGAGTTCTATGAGATATTCTGGCTTTGAACTGCCCGTGGGATGAATGTACATGTAAAAATCTGTACATTCTTGATTAAAAGCCATGTGAAATCTCTTTTCCCTTTCATCTCCTCAATTCCTGTGTGTTTCCAAAACGTCTTTGGTGAATCTGGCGGACTCGACTCGCAAGCATCGGAATGCACAGATTTGATTGGCTGAGCAGCGTCACATGAGACGATTGGAGCACGTGCGATTGGTCTGTGAGTTTCCTGGTCCGCTAAACCAGTAAGCTGGGTTTAACACAGCCCCTGCTAAAAAAGGAAAATCTCAACCCCTCTGTTCTCTCAGGTCCATCTCTAAACTGTCTCTTATCTAAAGTCCTGGACAAAGTAGTTTTTACCCAGCTGCAGACATTTCATTGATAATAATGTTTATGAAAAGTTCCAGTCCGGCTTAAAACCCTGTCACAGCACTGAAACAGCACTTTTAAGAGTTTTAATGACTTGATTTTAACTGACTCAGGAGTCTCTGCCGTCCTAGTGCTCTTAGACCTCATGGCTGCCTTTGACACTGTTGACCACTCAATCCTCTTGTCACGGGTGGAAAACTGTGTGGGAATCAAAGGTACTGCACTTAGGTGGTTTCAATCCCATCTAACTGATCGGAGCTTCTCTGTCCACCTCGGTGATTATTCCTCTGAGACAGCCCCATTTACTTGCGGTGTCCCTCAAGGTTCTGTCTTAGGCCCCATCTTATTTTCTTTGTATTTGCTGCCCCTGGCCTCCATTTTTGAGAGGCATGAGGTCTCTTTCCACTGTTTTGCAGACGATATTCAAATTTATTTGCCCCTGAATGTAAAAGCAAAGGGCTCACTGCAGCCCCTGCTTGACTGTATGAAGGACATCAAAACGTGGATGAACCTAAATTTCCTCAACCTAAACGGAGACAAGACAGAGATCATAGTGTTTGGACACCCTGAACTGCTTGATGAAGATTCTCTTGGCCCTTTAACTTCAAACAGCCGCTCAACTGTGAGGAGTCTTGGTGTTGTATTGGATAGTGTGTTTAAATTTGATAAACAGATATCCGCCACTGTTAGATCCTACTTTTTCCAGTTGAGAACTATAGCTAAGGCAAAGGCCTATCTCCCTCCTAAAGATGTGGAGAGGGTGATTAATGCCTTCATAACTTCTTGACTACTGCAACTCCTTATATGTGGGCTTAGACAAGTCATCTACTCAGCGCCTGCAGTTAGTCCAAAATGCTGCTGCCCGCTTCCTGACAGGAAAGAAGAAGAGGGACCACATCACACCTGTGTTGCGCTTCCTCCACTGGCTTCCTGTTCATTACAGGATTGATTTTAAAATCTTACTTTTAATTTTTAAATGCCTTAATGGATTGGCTCCATTGTACTTAACGGAGCTTCTTCACGTTCATACTGCAGCTAGAGTGCTGAGATTCACCTATCTCCTCCTCCTGGATTTACCCAGAAGCAGACTTAAACCAGAGGCGAGTCCCACACTTGCTCTTAAAAGACTAACTGACATGAATGACTCATTTTGCAGCCTTGGGTTCCATGAACAGCATAACGCCAGAAAGTCCTGAAGAACATGTTGCAGAGGGAGGAAACATCAACCTGACCTGTAAATATGAGGGTGCTATCTACAGTATCCAGTGGTACCGACAATACCAGAGATCCAGACCAGAGTTCCTGCTCTACATCACAGAGAGTGGATCGATTCATCCAGCTGATTCTGTTTTCTCAGCTCACATTAATAAAGAAGAGAAACGTGTGAATCTGGAGATCATCTCAGCTAAAGTGACAGACTCTGCTGTGTACTACTGTGCTCTGCAGCCCACAGTGACAGGAAACACCAAAACTCTGTACAAAAACCTTTGGAGCAACGACAACAGAATACTCCACAACGTCCACTAGAGGGAGTCACACACTGTTAAACTTCAGTGGTTTATGATCTGAATTTGTGGTGCTGGTGATTAAACAAAACAAAACAATGCAGCAGCAGCGTGTGGAAGATACTACAAGTTCTGAAATGTTATTTTAAATCAATTCCGACAAAGGATGATAATGATGTTGGATGGTGTTTATATAAAGAAAGACTATCAGCAGCCTAATAGCTGAGAGTTCTCAACCAAGGAAGTCCTTTCTCTCCACTGCTGTTTGATCCTTAAGGAGTAAATAATTAAAATGTCCATTCTGTAAAAACACATGATGTCAAGGCTCTGACTCAGCATCTGTCAGGGTCGTTGCACAAATTCTGTAAGCAGTCCCTGTGCCCCACCCCCATTACCCACTGCCCCCACCCCCCAAAACCCCCCTCCAACACACATGTCATCCGAAATGTCAACACATTTCAACCTTTTTTCAACATTTACTTCTATGCAATGACTATAATTGCTAAATGCTTTCACCCCCCACTACGATGCCCTTGGTCAAATATACAGGATCCAATCTGGAGATTAAAACATTTGTAAACCAATGATGGTCCATTAAATTGTTTACAGAACAGAACAGAATTCATGGATGACCAAGTAATGACCAAGCATGAAACAATAAAAGGAAAATTTGACGTATGCAAACAATCTTCCTGTCTGGAGCTTAACATCTAGTTTACTCAATTTAAGACCTCTTATGATATGATTTGTCCTAAAATGTGACACAAATGTAATAATGTGAATAGTACTGTTTGAGTAATGTATTGAATAAGTAATTAATGTGGCTGTCATGTGTAATTGAATAGTTGTATATCGTCTGTCTAAAGATTGACCTCAGTCAGGACCTTCACATGTTCTGTCAAGAGTCAACCAGTTTTACCTTATCAGCTTCTTGTTAACTGATGGAAATGATGTCATGTAGTGAATTACAGCACCACAGCAGAGACAAACTCACTATTTGTCAGAGTTGTGAGAGGAAGGAGTGAGGGATTAAGGGAGGAGCAAAACTGGGACTCAAGGACAGAAAAGACAACAGATAATGAAGAGGAAGGGCCAATGATGTGAAGGTCCAGATGTTTCTTGTTGCCCAGGTGTTGCCTTTTAGGTTGATTGTCCAAACATTAAATAGCTGCATGACTCGTGTAAAGGGAATTCCAAACATATTGCATGTAACCCTGGACTCAGGGAGACTCATCTGTGATGTGGCACTGAATCTGTGTAAACGTAACAGTTCAAATATCTCTGTTCTCTGTGGTATCCAGACTTCAGGGACAATGTGTCTCTGTAGGATGATATGATTGACCCTAAAGCTGGATAAATAACAGGCTCACTCAGCTCTCCTCACTCATTCCAGCATACATGTACACGGCGTATATGTGTTGCTGTGAGTCCTTCTGCAGAAGACTTGAATAAGATTCACAGAAAGACAAGTGTTGTTGTCAGAGCTGAAGGTGAAAACCGTACAGCCAGAGTCTGGGACTCTGGGACTTCAAACCTCCCCTCCAAAATACGGGTGAGACGTTGAGGGCCTGACGCCTGAGTGTCTGAGGCTCCCTCACCGCTGTGATCCACAAAGAACCTGGTGGCGGGCAACACTCTCTTTTTGGTGAGTAGACTGTTGAAGTGGAACGATTCTCGCTACCTCTCAGGGTGAGCGTGACAGACGTGTCAGCAGGGCCTGGGGCCGCTGTGTGAATCGGCAAAGCTTTGTGTGAAAGGTACTATAGTCAAGAAATCACTGGGGGGCAGTGGATTTCTTATAGGTCTGGGACCTACTGTTGCATCAGTTCTTTTGGGTCTGGGACCCACAGTAGAGGAGTGTGAGTCATAGGACTCACTATAAAATTTACTATTTTACTTAAGGCTGCTATTCTAGGTGAATGCAAAGTAAATACACAGTATTGTTGAATGTGTTTACTACAGATGTATGACTGAACTGTGAATGAAAAAAAAAATTTAGTGAGAATTGAAAACAGCCTTGTGGGAATGAATTGCGACTGAGAAAAAAAACAACAACAACTAATAGACCGTGTGAATGTTGAACAAAGGCTTTCTGTAAACAGGATAGAATTTCCTCAGACTACTAGCTTTGTTAAAATTTAATAGAAACATGTAAGAAATTAGAGAAAATATATCTATGAAGATTTTCAGTCATCCAGGTCATAGTTATCCAACGAAGGTTAAAATCAAGGGCAACTGGACTTGGTTGAAGATACTGGAAGACGTTTCGTCCCTCATCCAAAGGACTTCTTCAGTTCATGAGGTCATGAGAACACTGCACCACAGAGCGGAAAACATACCAACAAGCGCCCAGAACCACCTGAAGGGGGCACTTACAGCCTGTGGATACCCTAAATGGACCTTTGTGAAAACAGCCACAAGATCCAAGAAGAACAAAACTACAGGGGAGGAGGAAAAGAAGGTTAAACGCAACAACATTGTGATTCCGTACGTGTCTGGAGTATCAGAGAAACTCAGGAGGATTTTCAACAAACATAAGATCCCTGTGTTTTTTAAACCCAAGAACACACTAAGACAGATGCTGGTACACCCCAAAGACCGCACACCCAAACACAAGAAAAGCAATCTAGTGTATGCGGTCCAATGCAGTGAGGAATGCACAGACTTGTATATTGGGGAGACTAAACAACCACTACACAAACGCATGGCTCAACACAGAAGGGCCAACTCCTCAGATCAAGACTCTGCTGTCTACTTACATCTGAAGGACAGAGGACACTCGTTTGAGGACCACCAGGTGCACATTTTAGACAGAGAAGATGGATGGTTTGAAAGAGGTGTCAAGGAAGCATCTACACCAGGGTTGAGAAGCCGTCATTGAACAGGGGAGGGGGTCTACGCCACCACTTATCCCCCACTTACAATGCTGTCCTTTCATCACTTCCCAGGAAACTCAACAAACGTAACCTATTGACCTCAGGTGAAGATACCAACGATGGTCGTTCAGTCTTGGCCACCGGTAGTCCTAACGACTGTAACGACTGTCGTTGCAGCAACCAGGAACACTAACGAACCAGCGGTATCGACGATCCTGGCAAACGACCCCACTGAGGTTAAATAGCTGAGTTTCCCTGCCAGTCAGTCAGAACTGAAGAAGTCCTTTGGATGAGGGACGAAACGTCTTCCAGAATCTTCAACCAAGTCCAGTTGCCCTTGATTTTAACCTTCGTTGGATAGAGAAAATATAGATCTGAAAATCTTTTCTTAGTTACCCGGCTTCAAGGTAATGTCCTCATAACACGAGACTTAAACAAACCTCCCAAATTTGAAACAAAAGCTAATTCTATATTTTAAAGAATAAACACCTTAAAAGGTTAATTCTTTATTACATTCTGGGAATTCAGGGTTTAACTACCAAAGGAAAATGGGTTCAAATAACAGTAAGAAGGAACAAGACCCTTCTATTAAGAATTCTCCTAATATTAATTACATGATTGCTGATTATGGCTTGGGCTGCATGGCTGCTTCTGGAACAGGCTCATTAATATTTATTGATGATGGAACTGATGATGGTCGCAGCAGAATGAATTCAGAAGTGGACAGAAACATTTTGTCTGCCAGTTTACGGAGAAATGATTTGAAACTAATGGGGAGGAAGTTTATCATGCAGCAGGACAATGAGCCAAAGCACACTGCCAACAAAACAAAGGACTTAGAAGGTTTTAGACTGGCCAAGTCAATCACATGACCTTAACCCAATAGAGCTGCATTTCACCTCCTTAAGAGGAGACTGAAGGGAGAAACACCCCGAAACAAACAACTGGAAAATGCTGCGGTAAAAGCCTGGAAGAGCATCACAAATGAAGAACACACAGTTTGACGTCGATGGGTCGCAGGCTTGAGGCAGTTACTGCAAGCAAGGGTTCTGCAACCAAATATTAAATGTTGTTTACTTTAAGATTAGTTGTTCCATTACTTTTGTTCACCTAAGAATGCTGTGGTCTAATACAAACGGTGGTTTGTCCTGAGTTGTTTAACACATCTAGATGTGAATACCAGGAAATAAAAGCTGAAATTCTGAACTCTGGTCTTCTTTTGATCTTGAACCCAAATGTCAACAAAAACAAAGGAATTTGCCTCTTTCCAATACTTTTGGAGGGGACTGTATTGTGTTAACACAGAAGTCTATAACTATGGAACCAAACAACAAACATTATGGAAAGTGCATAGTTCAGAAACAAATAGCATTTAAGAGCTAGCATCTTGTGGCTATGAAAATATTCAGAACAAACTCAAGCCCAAATTAAGGACGGCTAGAAGGAAGGAGGAGGAGAAATTTAAAACCCGCTGTTCTTCAATGACCAACAAAACACTGTGGGACAAACATGGCTCCAGCTAAAAAGAGTCTTTGTGGTTTTAATGAGGTGAGAAGGTCGATGAGTTAAACAACTTTGATGAGAGGTTTGAAATAGCTGACTTCTCTCAAACATCGGGATGGACGATGTCATCGGGTGCGTGGGGGAGGTAGCAGTCGTCTTATGTGCATGTGTTCTCACACAGACTTCACTCTGTAAAAATATTGGCAGACTATTAAGGGCGGCTGTGGCTCAGGAGGTAGAGCGGGTTGGCCGTTAATCAGAAGGTCGGCGGTTCAATCCCTGGCTCCCCCTGGTTGCGTGTCGAAGTGTCCTTGGGCAAGATACTGAACCCTGAGTGAGTGTGAAAGTTTCCGTTTGAGCACTTAGGCTCAGTGTATGAATGTGTGTGACTGGTGAATGCAGATGTAGTGTAATGGCAGCCCAACCCTATTATCTGCATCAAACTATCCAAAAATCCCCACTGATCAGCATGTTCTCACACACCTGCCCCAGGAAGACCACCGGACCAGATGCTGAAATCATACAGCAGAACCCTGGTGTCCTATCTACCAGATGTCTCTGGACCTACGTGATCATCACGTGACTGCTTTGACTTCAGTAGATATGAAGTGTTTTGAGAAAGTCATTATCAACTTGTTTGCCTGTAGGTGTGACAGAGGTACGGCTGCTGCAGCCAGTTACATTTTCTACCTAAGCTTAGAGGATCCTACCTCATATGCACATCTTTTATTTTAGATTTCAGTTCAGCTTTTAATACGGTACAGCCAAATCTACTTATTAAGAAGGTGAATCAACCTTAAACATCTCTTCAGTGTTAGGGGAACTCTGTCAGAACCTAGAACCTTAAATATGGATGCCCCCCGTGGTTGTGTTAGTTCACCTGTACTTTTCACCCTGTACACAAATGAGTGTAGAAGCCATAACCCTAACTATTACATCATCACAGAGACCTGCCCCATCAATATCCCGGATCAACCACTACCGGATCAAGATGGACTCTGTTTCCCAAATGTCTGACTGTTTATTGTGAAGATGAAACTTTCATACCATCATCTGGTTGCTGTTGTTTGTCAAAATCTGTGTTAGTGAGCACTTCTGCTTTGTGGAGATAATCCATCCACCACACAGGTGTGGCATATTAAGATGCTGATCAGACAGCATGGGTATTGCACAGGTGTGCCTTAGGCTGGCCACAATAAAAGGCCACTCCAAATCGGCATGCTGACTGCAGGAATGTCCACCAAAGCTGTTGCCCGTGAATTTTATATTCATTTCTCTACCATAAGTCGTCTCCAAAGGCGTTTTAGAGAATTTGGCAGTACATCCAACCGGCCTCACAACCGCAGAACACGTGTAACCACACCAACCCAGTACCTCCACATCCGGTATCTTCACCTTCAAGATCGTCAGAGTCCAGCCAACCGGACAGCTGCTGCAACAATCGGTTTGCATAACCAAAGGATTTCTGCACAAACTGTCAGGAACCGTTTCAGGGAAGCTCGTCGTCCTCAGCGGGGTCTCGATCTGACTGCAACTTCGCACAGCCATTGAAGAGGAGTGGACCAACATTCCACTGGCCGCAATCAACAACCTGATCAACTCTATGTGAAGGAGATGTGTTGCACTGCGTAAGGCAAATGGTGGTAACACCAGATACTGACTGGTTTCTGGACCCCACCGTAGCCCACCGTAGCCCCCCCACTACAGTGACACTGCACATGTTTGAGTGGCCTTTTATTGTGGCCAGCCTAAGGCACTCCCCATGCTGTCTGATCAGCATCTTGATATGCCACACCTGTGAGGTGTATGGATTATCTCGGCAAAGGAGAAGTGCTCACTAGCCTGGAACATCCATGTGGACAGTCTCTGTAGCAGATTACAACAACGACTGCACTTCCTGTGTCAACTTGGACTTCATGGTTTTGATCAAAATGTTTGTTAGTCTTTTAGAGACTCATCAGATACATTTTCAAATACAATAATCATGGCAGCTGGTTCATTACATGTGTTGTATTTTGTCCTGCATACCTTAAACAGCACTTAATACCTTATTGCTCGACATACTCACTTAGACACCTCCAATGTCCAACAAATTTTACGGTACCAAGGTCGTTTTCTGTAGCTGGTAGGAGAGAATTTCAATATAAGGCCCCTCAAGACTGGAATAACCTTCCTCTTTTCCTGAGATCTATTTCCACATTTCGCTTATTCAAATGGTCACTTTTTTCTTTTCTTGAAACTACATGCTCTTGTTATTAAGAATACCAACGGTATTACATATAAATGGTTTATGTAGAAAATATATATTAGTATGTATATGAACATGACTCTTTCTGTCTTCATTCTCTTTATCTTGATTTTCTTTGGACATTCCTATGTGAGGTGTGACGTTATCCTGCATGTTACATTTTGTCATAAGGCATATTGATAAATGACGTATTGGTTGTTTAATGCACTCAGCTGATTATTTGTCAATATACTTTAATATATGTGCTATGTTAATTGTGGGGGTAAGGGCAGGTGAGCGAGTTTTTGCTTTGTATGTATGTCTGTGTTTGTATATGTGTGGTTAATTTAGTGTCTATACATGTATGCTACAGGACCCCCTTGAAAATGAGATGATACATCTCAAGGGTTTATCCTGAAATAAATTCATATCATGTGAAGTGCACTTGTTCTGGACCTTCCTACAACTGAGTGAGTCTAGAACTGAGATCCTTTTGTTGGCCCCTCAAATCCTGTCAACCACTTGAAATCAAACTTTGCTAAGATGCTCACTGATGTTCGGCATAAATACTCTAGATACAAGATTCTGTAGTGAGGTTTTGTTCAGTTATCAGCTGACTTAAATTGAGTCCTTCTTGTGTTTGCAGAGATGATCCATCCTTTGAACTATGCTTATACTTTAAAATTTAAAAGAAAAAAACCTTTCAGCTCGAATAACCTGCTGCTACCAGTCTGTTAACAGGAGGAAGTGAAACTGAGAGAAGTTAAAATCCAGAGCTGCGAGGAGACGGAGAGATTGAGGGAGGAGCTAAGCTGTTAGTGAACTATAGAAGAGAGAGGAACTTCCATATTCAGCAGAGTTCAATACACAAAGCAGAAACATTCCCTTTATTCAACATGCTGTCATTGGACTATTATGTACTTTCTCTACTGTTACTATCCATTCTAACAGGTATGTGAGATCCTGCTGAGAAAGTTTCATTACTAAAAAAGCTGATGGTCAAGATCGATTCTTCTGGTATCGACAACATCCAGGAAAACCACCAGAGTTCCTCATCTTTCACTTGGGAACACAAAATGCAACAAACTCTAGATGGTCTGCTAAAGTGAGTGATGATAAAACCCAAATGGATCTGCAGATCTCCTCTGCTGCAGTGACAGACTCTGCTGTGTACTACTGTGCTGTGAGGCCCACAGTGACAGGAAACACCAAAACTCTGTACAAAAACCTGACAGCTCCTCTGAAGATTTACTTACTTTTACTGAACAACAGCGCCACCAAGTGGACACTGACAACACAATCTAATTACAAGTTACAATATTACTCCTGTTGGCAACACAACAGCTATCTGTTTACAGCGAGGCACTCCACAAGGAAGTCTTCTTCTCCACAGTTCATTTCACTATCCCTGATGAGACAAATACAAATTCCAGACTGATGATGATGATCTCATAATTGTACCAGGGTGAAAAGTGGTTAAAGAGACTTTGTTGTAACAGAAAGTTCACATGTTAAAGCTCCTCATTATGAGCTGCTCTGGATAAGAGCATCAGCTAAACAGCTGAGATGTAAATGAGATGTAAATGTTGAGAGTTCCTCAACAGATGATGAAGAGGAAGGGCCAATGATGTGAAGGCCCAGATCCATCAGAGTATCAATGTTCTTCCTCTCTCTCCTCCCCTCTCACTGCAGACATGAACCACTGGCTGAGAAACATCCTGATTCTGACTCTCTGGCTAGGTAACTCTTTAAACCTACTGATTGTTCTCCTTTAATCAATCATCTTTATTGATCCATCTCTTCCTCTGCATGTTCTCTTCTTCCCCAGAGTGTAAAGGAGAAGACAGAGTGACCCAGCCAGCAGGAGATGTCATTGCTGCTGAAGGAGACACAGTTACACTTGGCTGTACTTTTGAGACCAGTGACCAATACCCCTACTTGTTCTGGTACAAACAAGAAGTAAATGAGTCTCCTAAGTACATGCTGAAAAGTTACTCAAAAACAACAGATTTTGATGCAGAGTTCACAAAAGACAGATTTAATGCTACAATCAAGGATAAGTCAGTTCCTCTGAAGATCCAGAAGCTTCAGCTGTCTGACTCTGCTGTGTACTACTGTGCTCTGCGGCCCACAGTGACAGGAAACACCAAAACTCTGTACAAAAACCTTTGGAGCAAAGACAACAGAATACTCCACAACGTCCACTAGAGGGAGTCACACACTGTTAAACTTCAGTGGTTTATGATATAGTCAGGATTTGTTTTAGTGGTGATAGAAGCAACATTAAATGAAGCACTACAGATAAAACACAATAAACAAATAACAGAACTTGAATATGTTCATAGTATTTTCAAAGTATCTCCAATACTACTCCAGCAGATTGTTTTCACAGACAATTGAAATGCTTGGTGATTGTAACCATTGCAAGCTTTAAGCTGTGCTGCCTGGTTTGAAGCAATATGTAGACTGTAATACTAAACCCCCATTTGCACCTCTCACCATAATGTCCGTTTAATTCCCACCTACAAGTCCCTGCTCAAAAGCAGGACAGCACAAGTAAAACTGTACTTGTTTGGAACAATGATGGCATTGAGACCTTAAAGGGAAATGAAGCAGTCAATCAAGTTTACATCATTTACACAATGGATTTCCACTACGATCGACAATTATACAAGAAACATGACAAATGTAAACAAATAAAAGACAAAAGAAAAGAAGAACTGTCATATCTTTCACTGAAAGGGCGCCACCATTGTGCAGTACGATAACCTGCAATGTCACGGGGTTGGTTGGCTTTAAGGCTTTGGGCGAGAGATAGTGAAATACAGAACCAGTGAAAGAGATAGTGAAAGACAGAGACAGTGAAAGAGAAATAGTGAAAGAGATAGTGAAAGATCGACATAGTAAAAGAGAGATACTCAAGAGATAGTGAAACATAGACCTAGTGAAAGACAGAGCCAGTGAAAAAGACAGTGAAACACAGAGATAGTGAAAGAGATAGTGAAAGACAGAAAAAGTGAAAGATAATGAACGAGAGATAGTGAAAGACACAGACAGGGAAAGAAATAGTGAAAGAGAGTGAAAGAGAGATAGTGAAAGACAGAAACAGTGAAAGAGATACTAAAGAGATGGTGAAAGACAGATATAGTTAAAGATAGACATAGTGAAAGAAAGAGCCAGTGAAAGAGATAGAGAAAGAGACATAGTGAAAGATAGAGCAAGTAAAAGAGATAGACAGAGATAGTGAAAGATAGACATGGTGAAAGACAGAAACCGTGAAAAAGAGAGTGAAAGACATAATTAAAGATAGAGGTACTGAAAGAGATAGTGAAGAGATAGTGAAAGACAGAGATAGTGAAAGACAGAAACAGTGAAAGAGATACTGAAGAGATGGTGAAAGACAGAGATAGTGAAGAGATACGGAAAAGATACAAATTGAAAGAGATAGTGAAAGAGATAAAGAAACAGTGAATGAGAAATAGTGAAAGAGATAGAGAAAGAGATACTGAAGAGATAGTGAAAGACAGAATTAGTTAAAGATAGACATAGTGAAAGACAGAGCCAGTGAAAGAGGTAGTGAAGGAGAAATAGTTAAAAATAGAGATACTGAAAGAGATAGTAAAGAAATAGAGATATTGAAAGATATAGTGAAAGACATAATGAAAGAAATAGTGAACGAGAAATAGTGAACGAGATAGTGAAAGATAGAGATAGTAAAAGAGATAATGAAAGACAGAGATAGTTAAAGATAAAGAGAGTGAAAAATAGACCGTGAAAGAGAGTGAAAGATAGAGCAGGTGAAAGAGATAGTGAAAGAGATAGTGAAAGACAGAGATAGTGAAAGACAAAGAGAGTGAAAAATAGACCGTGAAAGAGAGTGAAAGATAGACAGTGAAAGACAGAGATACTAAAAGAGAGAGATAGCAAAATAGACAGTGAAAGTCAGATAGTGAAAGACAGAGATAGTGAAAGAGAGATAGTGAAAGTGAGAGATAGATGGATGCCACGAACAAAGGACAACCAGTGGAAACTCAGAATAGAATCAAATATAATAATTGTTTTGAAAGGTTTTCAAATTATTATTATTTTCATTGTCAGTTATTTTAGTAATTGTTCCTTTATTTGTTTTTTTAAATTTGTTTTTATTTCACGTTTATGGGTAATGGGAGTTCGGGATGTAGCAACATGTAAAAGGAAATGGCAGACATGAAAATATATTTTGAATGCTTTTATATGCTAAAGCAAGATTAAATAAATGTAATAAAGAATTCCAAATGTCACAGTGAAATATATCATTATCAAAATATTGCCTATAGACACACGCACACACCTGTCTATAGATTTGTATCACTCTTAACCCTGCCTTGGCCGACCTCGTCCTTTCTCCCAGTACTGTATCCTTCTCAGATCATTTCCCACACAGTTTTGAACCTGGTATCTTATTTCCTCTACCTGCAGCTTTTGGTGTGCAGCAGTCTCTGTGACCATCTCCCTCTTATTTTATCGTAGCAGTCAGCCTTGGCAGCGGCTGCAGCACTACAGCCGTTCAGTCACTGTGAGCCAGTTCCAAATACTGTCAGCAATCTTTACACCTTGTCATGGTCACATATTTGTTTAATCAGCTAATATCTCCTAAGTTTGTTATAATATCGATAGTCACAGATCACCACCAGTAGTATCAGCAGCAACAACAGCATCAGCAGCAACATCCCCAGCAACAACATCAACAGCCCACAGTGTTTAAAGCAAGAGCTGGGTATTCCCTGTGTTTCTTTTTCAAAACTGTGTCATACCATTCGCTGATGTATCAATACAGAAGCATCAGTATACGCATATCAGCAAGGAATACATAACAATATATTTCTGTATCAATATTTTGAGAACAGCCCTATTTAAATCCTTGTTCCATGTGCCCCTTTTATACTTTGAGTACCTGCCCTGGTTCTGATAGCAGGCACTTTGAACTGTAGCCCATTATGTGACCTGAGACTATGACTGCTTTGTAAAGTTAAAAATGTCCTGTTTAAATAATTTGGAAGTCTACCTAACATATCTTTGCAAGTGA